AAAATAAAAAATATATATATTACATATTGAATGTGTAATTGAAGAGCTGGCAAAGAATGGTGCACAAACATTTGTCCAGAATTGAGCCGTCTTTTAAAATCTATTTGCTCACTATCGAAAGACGCATCATAAGGCAGACTGTCATCAAAAGCAACAGCTTTATATGCATCTGAGCTTAATGGTTTATCAATCTCCTATATATAGGGAAAGTAGGAAGCAGAAAGTTAATTTACTGTATTAAAAACAGTAATTATTAGAGATATATAACTTCTCTCACCATAGGAGAATATTTTCTGATTTTTTTAACGTCGTATTGGCCTATTATACGAATAAATTAAGAGCTACACGCATAATATAGGTCAAATTGATTGTTATTTTACAAAGGACCAACCTTGTGAATCAGGATTATTTATCGTTGGTAAGTCAATAATAGAATAATTGAAAAGCATATTCGGATCATTCATATCTAATGTTAATTTGGCAAAAGGAGCCAAGCCTTTATGATCGTCCCATATTATAGAGTTAAGCCACTCTCCACTTTCGAACTCAGTATTTCGATAACTGAAAGGCATGTTGGACTGTTTAATGTTTATCATAATTAAACTAATTATTGTGTCTTATTCAATATTTAATTTCCATTAAATAGACTTAAGAATACCTTAAGCACTTTTTCATCACTTGAACTAAAGTTAAATGCAAATAATTAACATTTAAATGAGATAATTCAATAATAATAATAATAATCCATATAATAATTTTCCGATAAATCGGTTATAGTTATTTGTCAATCGGATAGAATAGAATCAAGTAATCAGTACCTAGCAGATTCGTCGCCAACTTCGTCACCGTCACTATCCCATGAAATTTTATCTTCCCATGTGCTCATTGTAATGGAATAATAAGTATTGGGATTACCAGGAACTTTCCAAAATGATTGTCCTATTTCATGTATATGCTTCTATTGAAGTGGATAAAAGTCCATAAGATTATATTTGTCTTGTATACTTGTGCACATGAAAATTGTATATTCCAACACTAACATCATCATCAAGCTTGAAATCAACATCATCGTTCTCATAATTGCTTTCTGAAATTTGACTCATAGGTGAAGTAGGTGTCTTGATAATAGCTTTATTTTCAACGTTGTCATCGAGGCATGGTTCCTCAATAAGGAGTTGCTGAGATGATTCAAATAGTTTTCTATCATCTACCTCAAAGTTAAATTGTAACTGTGTCTCATCTGTAGGAATTCAAACATTGATATAAATAATATGATCAAAATTCTACAACAAACATTGCTAATAACACTACCGTGTCTGCTCAAAGGGTTCAACTTTCGGTTTTTAATTTTTGTTGCAAATAAATCTGAAAATTTTAAGATCTTGTCCTTTTCGAACGCAGGATACAAAGTTTTCATGTCAAACATTTCGTTTGTAGATGGTTGCGCACCAGCCATTGGTATTCCTACATTATGCTGAGAGTGAGTGTGAAATTCCAATCCATTTTTAGGAAGACTTGATACTCCATGCATATGAGTATCTTCAGTTTTATAGCAGCTTGTTTCATCAAAATTGAAAGCTTGCTGAGACGGTAAGCCCAATGTTTGCATACTCTCTTTGACACGGTTTAAGCCTTGCTGATAGTGTGTTTCTGTAAACACCAGTTCACCTGGATCATCCGTGTAAACTTCCATAGACTCAGAGTAGTCAACAGCGCCGTCAGCATGTTTAGTGCTAGACTCTCCTGGTGCATATGTTGGTGTATGTGCAGATGCCTCACTTTCAACAGCGGCATCGTCAATTTCAATTCCCAATGAACGGACCGAGAAAATCTGACTTAGCACAGCACCTTCTTCAGCACCTTTTTGCAAAGATTCACGAATTTCCTAAGAATTTATTGCTTTAAAAGCTAAGATCGAAAAAAAACACCGATGTAAAGGCTAATTTTGACTTACCTCACCAAGCCCTGAATCTTCCAAATGACCTTCTTCATCGACATTTCCAAATAGAAAACCTCCAATCGCTGCCATAAGACAAAATCACGAAAGACAAATTATAAACAATGAAAGTGTGTAATTATGTTTCTTGATTTCAAACCAGGTAAACCAGATCAAATAACATTGTATTAACAATCACGTGATAATGTGTTACATGCAGTTCAAACCGAAAAGCCTGGTCGAGTCCAAACTGCACCAGACTCTCGAACTAAATCGAAGTTATACGTGCAATTTTAAAAGATAGTCTTTTAAAGTGGATCACCTCAAATTTAATTAATAATTTATAACACAATGTTTATAATACTGTATTACGGATATTGAATCATAAAAAAAAAAAATTTACCAAAATTATAATAAATTTCCCTCTCAACATGTAAAAGTCTAACAAGGTTTGCTTAGATACATATTTTTTATTTTCTTGACAAGTTCTTGTTAATAGTCACAGAAATCTTAGTTAAAAATGCATATATTGTGTTAAAAGCCGCCGATAAAAATAAAAACATTCAAACTGAACAAATAAATCAAACACTATAACGCAAGTAAATACCCTAAATAAATGATAACGATAAATACAGTACAAATGTGATACATTATTAAGATAAATAAGAAAGCTATAAATCTTATATTAGATCTAGTAATTGTAAACTTCACGGCTAAAGTTAGGATCTTGAATAAAAGCAGATAGTACTTTGCTTCCAGTTTGCAAAAGAGGATGACCAGCGACGCTGATAATGAAATACATGTTACATAAAATAACCTGCGAAGATAACCAGATATAAAATAAAATTTATAAACACATACATTTGGAGAAATCTTTCAAGTCCCTCTCTACGGGCTTCAATGACCTCATCGGAAAATCGATTGGTAAAAACCTTGCCTGGCAAAGGAGGAATATTTACTCTTGAAGATTCCCGCTCAAGAACATCACGAAACCATTCAAAATCACTATATCGCCTTCTAACGGAAGAATATTTAAACTTAAATGCAGGGATATTCGTCTGTGTCATCATGAAGATAAAAATGATTTAACAATTTGCACACATGACATGAAATATTCGAGCATAATCTGCTTAAACAGACGTATCGCGTCAAATTTTACCCGGCAAACGATCTCATAGTCAGTATACATTTTGCGACCAAAGCCTGTTAGCGATAATACATAATAAATTGCAATGTCACTTATAATGACATATAATACCAGAAGTAATGCTCTAACCTCAAATACCTTGAGTTTGGGGATTCCGCACTTCAATTTCCAGAAAGTTCTCTGGTATTCCATACATCTCATCAATAGTTTGTTCTTTAATCTGCAGTCTGGAAGTCGCTTCAAAATTTTTCTGCGTAGGTGATGTCATCGTGGACGATTTACAAAAGATATAGAAATGTATCTGAAACCAATTTATACTCAGGTTAAGTGCGAACAATTCCGGATTACGTAATGATTCATGTATCACTGTTCCATAAGTTATCATGCGGTTAATCAAACCTTAAAATATTTTTAATAATTATAAAAAGGAATAAATGTATATGCCGCGTAGATTTAAAATTCGATTCTGAGGTGCGTCAGACTAAGATTATCATTTACGCGATGTGTATAAGTGTAATAATAATTTATTGTGTACTTCGTGCCGAGTTAAACTATAGAAATATTCATTCACTATTTTCATGCTAAAATGTCAAAATTTTGGCATCGAATAAAGAAAAGCACTAATTAATCAAAAATTATAGGAATTAAAGTTCATTTTTTATCCCATTAATATTACACCGCGTACCTCATTACTTTGCATATACTTGAAATTAGATAATATTTTAACAGTCAAAGAAGCAACGCTAAAAAACAGAATGTTAGCATGCTTGTAATAGTAACAAATATCATCGTAAAATTTGTCGTTGGGTGGAAGTAAACGAACTATATGCAATAATGGTGGATTCATTAAATTATATTGCAATTAGAGTATTAGTGCTTAAAACTAGTTACGATATAAGCTGTAATAACTTCAAGCCGAAATATTTCGGTCACATGTATAATTCAGCATGAGCGACGCCCAAGAAAAACTAGACTTTGGTTTCAGCTTTTAAATCTAAAACTTACCCTAAAAATTCTGAAGAATTTAGTCTAAGGATAGCGATAGTGATAGGAATTACAAAATCATTAATCGACCAATCGACTAAATTAGTCGATCGATTGGTCGACTAATCGACTAATCGGATAATCGAATACCGTAAATTCTCGAAATAACGGGCAGGGGCGTTGGGGTGATTGATCGACTAATTGTAACAAATATCGATATAGACTTATAGTAAAAACAATTAGCCAATTTTTCTAATATGATCGTATTGTTACATGGATGAATATCACTTTTCATTAGGAATTTATTATATGGTGCATGTAGTCTAAAACCAACATCACGTGACCTTTTATAACTATATAAACTAAAAAAAAATTATAACTAATAATATTAATATTATAATAAAATTTTTTTTTCTGTAAATTAATTATTTAGAGTTTATAT